ATATTAGATTGATCTTAATTTTCAAATAAATAGCATCATGAACTCTATTGAGTTTAATAATTTTTTATAATATTTTTTTTAATTTTATAATAAAAATATATGGTCATAAAATTCAATATCAACCTAAAAACAAAAAATTATTTGATACTATAATAACCTAAAATAAAACAATAATAAATAAATCATGCCTTTTATTTCCTAACCAATCTAATATTGAAAGATAAAATCTAGAAAAAAAAACTATTAAAAGCAATTAATGAGCTAAAAACAATAATTAAAAAAAAAACATATCTTAGATAAACTCGTCAAGCCTATAAACCAAGTTATGAATTCCAGTAGAATTATAATTTTTTTCAAAACTATTTTTTATCCAAACATGATAAAAAAATATATGATCAAAAAATAAAACATCAATATAATACTGGGATGTTGTAAAACAAATTAAGCGACAAATGAATATCAAAATATTTAACATCGCAACACCAGTAATTTATCTTGTTATGTTTAATTAATTTCTATATTAAAATAAATTTGTAGTAGAAAAATAAATCAAATTTATAATAAAAACCGACGACACATCATAAAATTTATTAAATAAAAAAATGATACAAGGTTGCAAATATGAAAAAACTAATAAAAATCAATATTAAAAAAAATTAATCTATATAAAATTTAAAAAAATCACAAATGAATCATGCATATCTCTTCAAAAACTAAACATATTCAATATTATTAAAAAAAATCATCACAAACTAATTACAATATAAACCCGAGATTTACTTGAAAAAATATCAACTAATACATTATTTAAAAAAATCAAAATTAAAAAAAAATCAAGTCGTGTTTAACACTTAACCCAATCAAACAACAACCCACATGCGGGCTTTTAAGGCAAGGGCCAAAGCATGGACCAATATTTTTTAGAATTTTAAAGGGATGGATGATGTGTTATCCACCTCCATGCATAAAAATAAATTAACATATTATCTACAACAACATATGACAAGTTAGACATCATCTATTCATCTTTGGAATATGTTTATCGTGATCGCAAAAAAAAAAGAGTTTTTTTTATCCACAAATCCATTTTCAATCCATTTTTTATTTAAAACATCTAAAAAAAATCTCAAGTTTAAATTTGATTTTTTTCATTGCTTTTCAAGATAAAAAAAAACATATAATTTTAACTCCTTTTATTATATAAAACCATTTAAAAAAAACTCAACTGTTTTGGTGCCCAAATCCTTATTAATAAACATTTTCTTTCTCTAAGCTATAATCCAACAATCTCTTCACTCCTCTAACCAAAGAAAACTAATAAATAAATAAAACAAAATGCAATATTAAAATTGAATTTTATAAATTCAAGGAATCAATCATCTAATTTTTAAAAAAATGAGGGATTTAAATAAGTTTTTGAAAAAAAAATTCAATCCCCCACTTATGTTACCCACTTTTTTCCACAAAAATCTCTTTTCTTTAAATTCAACCGTTACTTACAAAAAAATATATAATTGAGGTCCAAGTCTCAAAATGGCTGAATTATGTCAAAAAAATAAAAATAAAATTCAAGAATCAAATTGAGAATTTATAAAAATTACACTATTTGATGTTTTCAAGATAAAAAACATATAATTCTAACCTTTTTATTATATGAAACCATTTAACATAAAAAACCAACTGTTTAGGATCCCAAATCCTTATTAATAAACACTCTCTCTCTCTAAGTTATAATCCAACAATCTCCTCACTCCTCCAATTAAAAAAAACTAATAAATAAATAAATAAATATAATATAATATCAAAATTAAATTTTGTAAAAATTCAACGAATCAATCATCTAATTGCTAAAAAAAATGAGGGATTTAAATGAGTTTTTGACAAAAATTTTCAATCCCCCACTTATGTTACCCACTTTTTTCACAAGAATCTCTTTTCTTTAAATTCAACCGTTACTTATAAAAAGAAAAATACAATTGAGCTCTAAGTCTCAAAATGGCTAAATTATGCCAAAAAAATAAAAATAAAATTCAAGAATCTAATTGAGAATTTATAAAAATTACACTATTGTAATCCGCAATAAAATATTTAAAGAATAAACAATGTTTAATGAACAATAAAAACATAACATGTTTTAACTTTATGTACTAGTTAGATTGCCCAAGCACTGCTGCATGCTTTCTTGCCGATTTCAAATTCATGAAACCTGCATCGCATAACAAGAGGGAAAAGGAAGAACTTTCATAGCATGCAAGCAATATCTAGTTTCATTAAAAGGCAATGAATTCAGTGGTTAAACAATAGTATCTCTAAATGAAATGGAATTGGTTGAACGCTTGCATAATAAATGAAAAAGGAAATATGAAGCTACTTTAACTACACATATTTGTTATGCAATTATTCTAGAACAAAAAGGTGATCAATAAATTAAAAAGATTTGGATATAATACTGCTAACAAGAGTCATGCAGACTCTAAACTGAAATAAAAAAGTTTGAACAAAAAAAATTAAAAACTATGTATTTATTTTGAAAAAATCTTAAGGATAAAAGATTTCAATATATGTCATCACAGAACAAATATAATTAATTATATGGTATAAAAAAAGAAATGGAAATGAAATTAAATCATCGATGACAGCAAAAGGGCATGTTGATCCTCTAATTTGTTAAAGTTTAAAAATAGTTCTTGAACAGATCAAGACATAGATTCCATCATGCATTCCATTAATTTCTCGCTATATAACAGAGCAACAAAACCACAGAACACAATTCCATGAATAAGAATTAGCACTCTTCAATTCCGTTCTTGTTCTATAATCCAGCATTCACCATTTGCTTACTTATTCAAAAGCACCTGTAAAACATTTAGTGTAGTTTTTAAAAATGGCATTGTTGTCAATGGAAAAACCAGCATAAATCTCACAGATTTGAACCTCGTCTTTGAAAACAAACTCATGAGTTCTTTTTCATGAATCACCAGAATATAAAATTATAGCAGGAAACACAACTATTCTCTACTTAAGCAATATAGGGGGACGGCAAGGTCCTCTTTAGAAAAATTGTTTTGTTTTTTTTTTTTCATTTTTTTAGTTTTCTATGCCTTTCATATTGTTTTCCTTTTCCTTTTGTTGTTTTCTTTTAATATTTTTTTTTAATTTAGTTTGTTAATATTAATTTTTTATTTAGCTATCAAACTTTCATGACATTGATCCCGAGTTTAAAATGTTAACTTGGTTTAACAAGTTAACTCAAATTTTTTTTTATTGTTTTTTTATTTTTTATTTTTTTTTTGTTTATTTTAATTTGTTAATGTTAAATTTTTTTTATTTAGTTATCAGACTTTCATGACATATATCTTAGGTTTCATGGGTTAACCCGTCCATTTTTTTTCTTTTGTTAATGTTAAAAAAAATTTTATTTAGTTATCAGATTTTCATGACACAAATCTCGGGTTTAATGGATTAACCTGGTTTAACGAGTTAACCCGGAGGTTTTTTCTGTTTTTTTCTTTTTAATCAATTTTCTTAGTTTAATTTAGTTTGTTAATATTAAATTTTTTTATATTTAGTTATCAGACTTTCATGATATATATCTCAAGTTTTACGGATTAACCTGGTTTTACATGTTAATCCCATTAATTATGGGTTAACCCATCCATTTTTTTTCTTTTTCTTTTTTGTTAATACTAAAATTATTTTTTTATTTAATATCAGACTTTCATAACATGAATCTTGGGTAAACGAGTTAACCTAATTTGACAAGGTAACCTGAAGTTTTTTTTTTTTGCTTTTTTAATTAATTTTTTCTGTTTAGTTTAGTTTGTTAATGTTAATTTTTTTTTATTTAACTATCAGATTTTCATGACACATATTCCGAGTTTGACAGGTTAACCAAGTTAATTTTGGGTTAACTTGTTAATTTTTTTCTATTTAATTATCATACTTTTATGACGTGAATTTTAGATTTGATGAGTTAACCTGGTTTGAACGGTTAAACCAATTAATTTAGATTTTTTTTATTCATTAGTTTTTTTCTCTTATAGCTTTTTTTATTTTTTTTATTTTTAATTAATATTTTTTGTTTAATTTAGTTCATTAATATTAAATTTTTTTCTATTTAGTTATCAATTAATGCTTTTATTTTTTTCTTTTTTCCATTTTTATGTCTTTGACTCTGGACTGTACAGTGCAGTCCACAATAAAAAAAGCTAATGCGTTTTTTTTTTACTTTTTAATTTTTTAAAAATTTTTGATTTGTTTATGTTAAATTTTTTTTCTATTTTGTTATAAGACTTTCAAGACATGGATCTTATGTTTAATAGGTTAGCTCAATTAATTCAGATTTTTTTTTCATTAGTTTTTTCTCCGTATAGGTTTTTTCTTCTTTGTTTTTCCCTTTTTAACTAAATTTTTTAAATTTATTTTGTCGATATTAAAATTCTTTATATTTAATTATTAGACTTTTATAACACAGATCTCAAGTTTGACGGGCTACCTAGTTAATTTAGATTTTTTTATTTTTCTTCACTAGTTTTTTTCTTCCTATAGATTTTTTTTTTTATAAAAAAAACTTAATATTTTTAAATTTTAATTTTTTAAATATTTTTTATATAAAAAAATTAACCCAAAATATCGCGTATGTCATCTCCCTAGGTGGCATCAAAAAGCAATATCGCCGGATATCTAACTAGTTGGCATCAAAGGGGAAACTGTTTTTTCTTTAAGACATGTAAGACGAAACAAAAATCTAGGCCCTAGTGTCATAAACATGAGGTGATGTTAATTTTTTGTCTATCATGGAAAAGCAAGCACAAGTCTATCCAAGTTGCTTTCACAGCAGCATTGAACTCGCCAAGAATCGACGGCAGGCTAATTAGTCAAAAAAACCACATTCACTCAACAGTAGCCTGACAGCAAATGAAGATAAGAGTTATATAGATATTGTTTTGACGTTTTTCGTTTTTTCCTCAATTGTAAAAGATAAAAGGGTTTTTTTTTTTCTTGCCCCACTTATCATTGTACATTTATTTTCATTAAGACTGCATTGTTCTTTTCTTCTTAAGGTACAGAGACTGCAAAAATCTAGCCATTTCCTCGAACGAACGGTCATTTGTGCCCATCACATATTCAGCTTGTGACCGACTGCATTTCATTTGCTTGCTGTAAAGTTATGGTACTTATTTTGGGACTTGCGTCGAGAGGGTGTCTCAGCTGTTACTTTACAATTTTTTGTTTAAGAAAAAAAAATAGTTTCGATGCTGTGATAAATACCACCATATACGAGAGCAAATCAATGAAGAATTGAGAATTCGAGAGAACATAGCCGAAGTATACCGAACATAGGGTCCCCATGAACTACTAACTCTCTTATTAATTTAACGAGTCAAAGAAGAAAGCCTAGAAAATATATATAAAAAAAAAAAAACAAAAAAACAAAAGAGCAGACGCAAAAGCATTGCGTTGCTGATCGTGGCAAAGAACACCGAAAAAAGAAGAAGCAAACCTCTGGAAATTATGAATGCCTGAAACTGAGAGGGGTTTGAGAGTAGTTGCTTGCAAGTTTGATAGAGGGAGTCGAGGTATGCAACTGCAACAATTTAGACGATGAAAGCCATCAATAAGTATTGAAGAAGAAAAGGAAGAAGAAGAAGTAATGAGGAAGAAAAGCTACCAAGAACATGAATAGCAGCATCGCAGAAGGCTGAGAGCAGCAAAGTTCCCTCCAAGCATAGCTAAAACAAATGACAGGTAAATGTGTTCAGAAAACTGTTCTCATTTAACAGATTGACTTGGAAATGGTATGTTCATAGAATGAAAGTTAAATGTGAAATAACTATGAGAGTTCAATTTTGTTTTAATTGTTAACTACATGTCCCTTCGTTAAACAAAAGAGAGATAAATGTGTTGACAAACCATGATAGTGCAAGAACAACCGATGCAAAATCTATAAAATGTGTTTCCAATGAAAGAGACTGAAAAAAGCAACAAATTGTCTAAAAACAAATGTCCAGCAAGAGACATTAACCCTCCCAACATGTTTCTTCTCGCCAACCAATGCAATCAACACAGAAAAAAGGGCACCCACGGCATTAACCTAGCGGTGGCAGGAGTATTTGCTCCTTTCCCTGCCACAGGTTCAATCCTTGGAGTTGCATGCTTGTCAGCCCCGCGCTGCCTTACCTGCCTGCTGGGTTTGCAGGGTATTCAGTGGGCCGTGGGGATTAGTCGTGGTACGCGCAAGCTGGCCCGGACACCCCACGTAAATCAAAAAAAAAAAAAAACACAGAAAAAAGGAAATCAGTATCATTCTGATCCTTATAACAAGAAATTCCAACAACAACAGCTCATTCACATCTCCCTTTATATAAATGACAAAGCAGAGCCGCCCAAAAACAGCCCAGCAATTTTGCATGCACCAGCACTGGCACCATGAACTTGTCAGCCAAATCTCAAAAGACAAACAGAATCTACGACATACGTCACCAACAACCAACTTGATAAGTTCTTTTGATATGCCAACAAAACAATCTATTCTTTTATAAAGAACAAAAGAGATAGCAACTAAATTACAGGGCCCAAAGGGCTTGTCCCAAGCAATTTGAAGGAGGGGGAAAGCATTAAGCAAGCTACTGACAATAATGTCCCAAGCACCAAACCAAATCCAAGTCCAACTCGTATAAATATGACATGCCTAGGACTGATTGACATGGATAAGATGCCAACAATTGAACGAGAGAAAACCTTCCAGGACTACATGTTGAGAAGGCCAAGAATTCTAAAAAGAAATAAAGCTGAGAGCACCTGCAAACCAAAGCAAACAACACACAACCAATTTATGAGGAAGCTGTGGCCTGAAAAACAACAGAAAGAAACAACACAACACACATGATCCTCAACCAAGGAAGAGAAATCAACAAAATGCAAAAAAAATAAAGACCAAACGAACTTGCATGAACACAACAACAGAGGCTCAAAAAAAAGGGGCGGGGGGGGGGGGGGGGGGGGCGAAAAAGGAAGAGAA